AGTAAATTTTAAGATTATTCCAAATATTACCATTTCAAATAATTTTAACTTTAACGGTAACCGGCGATATGGTGCAACTCACCCTAAGTCTAAGCTAGTATTTTAAATGTAAATTAATTCTATTTAAAATGAATTAGTGGACATGGGCATTTACCCAGTGTCTATAGACAAGGCTATTCATGTGATTCCCCACCACCTGTGGGACAGTGTTGCTTTTGTTAGTGTGGTTTTATTTGTAGGTAAGCAATATGGATGGTACAGACAGAAAGGAGCTACACAACAGTGACATTCTCCATGTGTTTGGTTTGTCTCTGCTCGGTGAACATCTGTACTGGTCGGACATGCAGAGACGGACTTTAGACAGAATCAATAAAGATAACGGTAATTTTATTTTACAAGCTATAAGGTTATTGTATAGTAGATTTCATATGTAGTTTTTATTGTGGCACAAAAGTCCTCTTTATTTAATTGATTTGCTACTTTTATATGTCAGCATAATTGGTTCTAATGAATATTTTATTTTTAATCAAAGACATTTAAATAATATTAGACGACAATTCTATAGTGAATCAATTTATCGCATAGTCGCGGCGACTTGACACAAGACTTGTTAGTCTTTACCAACCAGCTCTGGGGGGAGGGTCATGACCCCCCATGAATCAGCCGTTGTGATATTATGGTGTTGATGATCTATGAATAGATTCTGTGAAAAATGTTTCAAATGAAGTGTCAACTATGTCTCCTCTATATATTTGTATCTCTTTATTACTAATATATTATGATATAAGGTGGCGAGCGCCAGCTGGTGGGGGAGCAGATGGCCAACATGATGGGTGTGAAGGCGTTCCGCGTGGGCGAGCCCCCCGCAGCAGCCGCCCTCAGCCGCTGCAGCGCCGGCAACGGCGGCTGCTCGCACTTCTGCTTCAACAGGCCCAATGAATACATCTGCACATGTCCCCTAGGTAACATCTGGAACTACTTTTGGATAAATTATACTATTCATACTTCATAATCTTACTAATATTATAAATGCGAAAGTTTAGATGGATGGATGGATGGATGTTTGTTAGCGTTTGTAGCCTAAACGGCTGAACGATTTAGAACGGTTTAGAGCATAGTCTGGAAGAACACATAGGCTACTTTTTGCCCCGGGAATAGTTACGGTTCCCGTGGGATTCATTAATTTAGTTTTTTAATGTTCACTCAATCATTCTGCAACGGTTCAACAAATCTTATTGAAATTTGGCATAGATATAAAACAAAGTCTGGAGTACACATGAGATAAGCTTCATCCCAGAAAAATGTCCGGTTCCCGAGGGATACGTAGCTTTTTGTAATTTATATAGTTCGTATGTTTTCTAATACCACGCGGACGAAGTCGCTGGCAACAGCTCGTAATATTATAAATGTGAAAGTTTGGATGGATGGATGGATGGATGTTTGTATCCTAAACGGCAGAAAGGATCTAGATGAAATTGGACATAGATATAGAGGATAATCTGGAAGGACATATAAGCTACTTTATTTTGTTTTTATTAATACCCCGCCGACGAAGTCGCGGGCGGAAGCTAGTATCTAATAAATCCGTTCCCAGGGTAAAGACAAACTTTCCCAGTCCAGTGATTGTGTTTCAATTTTAAATGTCGCAATCCCAACGGTTTATGCAGTTTTACACTAGTTTTAAAAGTATCTACTTAGGATATCTTTATATATATTCCAGATCAAGATATAATTGTTATATACAGTTTTTTTTTAGAAATGGACACTTTAGGTATTTACTTATATAGCTGTATAGTTTTATGATAACCATATCGTCTTTACAGTGATGGAGTTAAAAAGGGACAGAAAGACCTGCATAGACCCAGATGCGTTCTTAGTGTACAGTCGGAAAAACATTATTGGTATAATCAGCATTGATAATGAAGATAACGAGGAAGTGTTGCCTGTTAAAGACTTGAAGGAAGTCAGGTAAGTTGACAATACTGCCAAAATAAAAAAAAAATTAGTGATTCTCTAATGTCTTTTTTTTCACAGTGCGTTAGCTGTTCACGTGTCTGGGGGTAAATTGTACTGGTCGGATAGTAAAACTAAAACGATAAATCGTTCCTCTATCGACGGCTCATTTATGGAGAAAATACTGGAATGGATGGGATTGGTTGAAGGTATTTTTATATTAAATTAAAAATACAATAAATGTCAATTACTAGTGGCAGACTGAATTTTCAGTTTTGTTTGGTTGAGGCCGAAACAGAATATATGGCCGAAAGTTCAGTTTCTGTTTCGGTTTTCATTCAAAAACTTTCGGTCGGACACTATTAATTGTTAATAAATGTTATTACATTTTTTAAATGTATTGGCAGCTCAAGGTCATTAGCACATTGCTACGCTTAAAATTGTTTTCGTACCCTGAAGTTAAAAAGGCTAAAATGTATGAAAACCATAATCCTACTTTGTTTCAGGTTTAGCGATAGATTGGTCAGGTCAGAACATCTACTGGACGGACACGAGCTCGCAGCGCATAGAGGTGGCCCGCCTCGACGGCTCCAGCCGCCGCGCGCTGCTCTGGCAGGGGCTCAAGAAACCCAAGAGCATCGTGCTTGATCCTAAGAAAGGGTGAGCTAAAATACTACAAATACTGTTTACTGTTAAGAAATAATATATTTAGATATCAGTATGAGCTGTTTCAAACTATATGGCGGCTCAAGGTCATTTGCGTTTGCGCAGTGCCCTCTACACTGGTTAATAAACGTATTAAAGCGCTTACTTTTTCTTTTACGCATCTAAAAATGTGAATTTCTATCGGCCAATTGCTCAGTTGTCGCCTTGTAATATAAGAATTACAATAACTAATTTATTAATTTAAAATGTGTTATATTTTCAGTTACATGTATTGGTCAGAGTTAGGATCAAAGAGTATAAAGCGCGCGGCTATGGACGGGTCGTCGGCGAGCGTGTTCATAGAGCAGACGGGGCGCGTGCACGCGCTGGCCATAGACTACGAGACGCGCACGCTGTACTGGGCGGCGCTCGACCCCCCCGCCATAGAGTACGCATTCCTCAATGGCACGGGCAGGAGGATTTTAGCTAATAATATATCCATGCCATATGCGTTAACTATCTATGGTGAACGAGTGTTTTGGGGAGATTGGAATACCGGTAAGAAAATTTCATTATTCATTTAAGTATTAAACATCTTTGACTAAACTAAGGCATTGTTTAGTCACGCTTTGATTCCTATGAGCTTATATGGAGGTACACAACTCGATTTTTAGCTGTACAACTAAACAGTTTACTGCAAAATTAACGACAATCAATAATCGCACAACAGTTGTGCGATAATTTAGTGAAAGGTGTACGCCCGCTTTAAATAAATTTTAAAATGATTGAATTGCAAAATGAAAAAGGTTTAAGTCTAAATTCTAAGTTTTACGCACTTTTAATTGAATATCTACACAGATGTTTTCATTTACATTATTTATCACATCTTTTAAATAAAATCTTTTGTTGCATTTGTTGTTGATGTTGGTTCAATATCCATTGATATTTTGTGTTGTTGTCATTAAAGAAAACTATTTTGTAAACTAGGTATAGTTGAATCAGCAATGAAGAGCGACGGCGGGTCGCGTAGACGTGTGCACAGCGGGCTGGACTACATCTCCGACTTGAAGGTGTTTGCGCGCGGGCGCGAGCCGGCCGGCTCCCAGTGTGCGGCGGACAACGGCGGCTGCGAGCACCTCTGCCTGCCGCGCCCTGCCCCCCGCCCCGCGGCCCGCCCTGCGCCACGCCCCGCACCAGACTACCGCTGCGCCTGCCCCGCGCACTACTCACTCAACGACGACAACTTGACATGCTCCGGTTAGAACATTTTTTTATAAGTATTTAGGTGGCAAAGAGCAAGTGGCCAGCTGAATCCGCAGAAATGATGACCATTGCCCATAGATAAATGCAGATTCGTTACCTACCCTTAATCGATGGAAAAGGAGATGCACATAAAAAGATATTTCTCCTTCCCATGCGTCGTTTAATGATCACTACAAAATATATTTAGTTTACATTTTGTACGAGGAATCTATTGTTAAAGTACTGATTGAATGATTGACAGCCGAATTTTGAAACGAATCTCCAACTCCTCTTTTAATGAGCGCCACTTACAATTTATCAGACAACGAAATTTAGTTTATTTCTCAGTTTTTGTTGTGAAATGCAAATTTATATATTCAACTTCTTTAGTAATGATGAGGTTGACTGTAGAAGAGAAACTGGCCGCTAAGAATAATGTGACTTATTAAGTTATTTTTCTGTTTTAGAGCCAGAAGAATACCTGCTATTTGCGCAAAAGAATGCAATAGGTCGCATCATGGTGGCAACTGGTGAGGTCAATGACGCTTTTATACCGTTGACTGGACTCAAGAGTGTCAAGGCCATAGAATACGATCCTGTCAGCAAGTAAGTACTTTTAAATAAATATTGTGTAAAAGTAACTAAGCGACTTGCGGGTTTCTGTAATATTACCAGAATCTTACTATATACCTAATATTGTAAATCCGAAAATTTAATGGATGTTTGTTACTACCTTATCTCCAAAAGCTCAACGAATTTTCCTAATATTTGGCATAGCTAATAATAAAGTTTTTAAAATACGCGTGGACGGCATCGCGGGCGAGAACTACATCATATTTTTCTTCAATTTCTGAACAAATAAAAAAAGTCAATTAGTCCATTAACATGTGTATTGTTTGAATTTTTGTTTTAGGAATCTCTATTGGATGGATGACGACTCGCACGCGATACGCCGCGTGCCAATATCGTA